GCACCTAGTGTGTAAGAGCTACAATGCTGCTAAATGACCTACACTTGACAAGATTACTCCTCACAATAAATAATCACACAGCCCCAAATATCAACAGTACAAAGATAAAAGCACTGATCTAAACAACTGGGGTGGAAAGGAGGGTAGTGTTAGTAAAGGCATCCTAAGTTTAAAAGACTTAATTTAAAACCATCTTTAAATCATTTTCATAGAAAGAAAAATTACAGCCTGATACAATTAACCCAACTTCCCCTACAAAACAAAACAACAGAGAAAAGAGTGACACATCCCTGAAAGATGAAAATCAAAGAGAAATGTTTTACAAATGCTTCCCCAAAGTGTTCTCCCTGAGCCACAGCTAAAGCAAAATCACACAAACTAAAAACAAAGTTAGCATGTTATTCTACCTTTTTCATTTCCCTTGTGGCTACTACTAGATATTGATGGGCCTATAAGTTCGATAGTTATACAAACTGCCCACCCAGAATACAAAACTGGAAGTGACGGAAAATGTAAACTATGAAAATGTACTGGGTATTAGAGTGGGTCTAGAAAGTGTGTATCTTAGAATGGCTCAGAGTGAGCTATCCAAACCAAGGGATGCCAAGTCTCTGATACCTACAGACTTAGGTACCTTAACAATGATAACCAGAGGTTGGGGATTTAGCTCAGTAGGCCCTGGGTTTGATCCTCAGCTCCAAAAAAAAAAAAAAAAAGATAACCAGGACCAGGTATGCTGGCACGTGCCTATAATCTCACTTCAAACACTGGGGAGGCAGAAACAAGAGGACTGTTCCAAATTCTAGACTGGCCTCCTCTACAAATTGGTCCAGGGAAGCGAGGACTACCCTGTATCCCAAGACTCTATCCCAAAAACAGACTGGTCAATTCTTAGAAAGATGATAAAGAATCTCGCCAGAATTTAGCAACTGAGTAAATCTAAGAATTAAATTGCAATTAATTTTCTAGCATCTTAAAACCATAGACCCCACCCTACCTTCCACTCAACTCACTCAGAACAAGAAAAAAGAAATATATCATGGGGCAAGTAGTCTTCACTAACATAAGCAGCTAGAAGAGCAACATACAGAAAATCACTGCTGAAGCAGATTCTATTATGTTAAAGACTTACTGTTAATTTTTCTGAGGGGTGAACAATATGGCTCAATCTGGCCTAGAACAAAGTATGCAGCCACCCTTAAATTCAGAGCACTTCCCCTGCCTCAACCTCCTAGGTGCTGGAATTTCTAGTGTGTGTGTGTCAGGACACCCAACGTTCATATTTTAAGCATTTGAAGGTTAAAAAATGTCTTGCTAACAAACAGTACTGATAATTCTTTGACCTAGCCAAGAGTGTGGTGCCACACACATGTAATCCTGTAACCTTTAAGTTCTTAAATGAGCCTAATATACCCAAGTAAAATTCACCTCCTCTGGTTTTATCCAGACATAACCACTGCTAATCCACTCTTACACTTTTCATGGATTACATTAAAGTGTGTTTTAAGATTTCTTCTCCGATTGCACTGAAATTTTCTAAAGAAGGTATCATGTAAAGCCATTCTCTTTCCTTTCACTTTTCAAAAACAAGGCACAAGAGAAAAAGAAGGGCTCTATTAGAACAGCCTCCATGCAATCTCTAGGTGCAGAGCATGGACAGCAGCTCCCATGAAGATGCTACCAAGAAACACTCAAGGCATCCCCAATCTGGTCCACACAGTTAAGCTGTCCTTCTCACTGGACGAAGACTCCAAGTCTCTGTAAGAAGTGACCACCTGGAACAGCAGCAACTCTAGTACCTGGTAGTGAGTAATCATTCAGTTCAGCTACTCCACTCAAGATTCCATTCTCAGGGAAGTCTTCAAAGTAAGGACAACTTTCTCTCACTGGATCAGGACTGACAATACGTACTGGCCCTGGGATTACCTCTCACTCAACTCATGGTAATGAAGAGGAATTTACCACAAAATTTTTGAACAAAGGATCTCCTAATAGAGTATATTTAGTACAGTGGTGAAGGACAGAGAAATCCTTTGAGAAATTATGATAGGAGGAAGTTGATAGGAGATGATGACTCAGAATAAAATTTTTTCACATTTTGCAGACTAATTATAAAAGACTGTATTCTTAGCTTCACAATCTCTAGCATCTTATTTCCAAGATAAACAGGAAATAAGACTGGGTAGTTCAGTCTTTAAAGCCTAAGAATTAGCAAGCCTTTGTTAAGCATTTTATATTTTAAACATGTTTGCTGTGGATATCACTCTGTATAAATAAAATGCTGATTGGCCAGTAGCCAGGCAGGAAGTATAGGCGGGACAAGCAGAGAAGAGAATTCTGGGAAGTGGAAGGCTGAGGCAGAGAAGCACTGCCAGCCACCGCCATGAGAAGATGTTAAGATACCCGTGAGCCACGAGCCACATGGCAACTTACAGATTAATAGAAATGGGTTGATTTAAGCTATAAGAACAGTTAGCAAGAAGCCTGCCACAGCCATACAGTTTATAAGTAATATAAGTCTCTGTGTTTACTCGGTTGGGTCTGAGCGGCTGTGGGACTGACGGGTGAGAGAGATTTGTCCTGACTGTGGGCCAGGCAGGACCAGGAAAACTCTAGCTACATCTGTTTATTTTGTTTTTGTTTTATTAGACAGGTTGTACAATATGGTTCAGTCTGTCCTAGAACAAAGTATGTAGCCCAGGCCAGCCTCAAACTCAAAGCAACCCTCCTGTCTCAACCTCCCAAGTGCTGGAATTACTAGTATGTGTCAAGACACCCAATTTTCATATTTTAAGCATTTGAAGGTTAAAAAAATGTCTTGCTAACCAACAGTACTGATAACTCTTTGAGCTAACCAAGAGTGTGGTGCCACACACCTGTAATCCCAGCACTCAGGAAGCTGAACCTACAGCAAGACCCTGTCTCAACAATACTAATGACAGCTATTATTGCCATGAGCTAAATTTTGATGTCTTAAAAGCCAAATTCCCTGTAAGCACTTGAAAACACGATTTCCTCCCATGACTTACTAGAACAGTAATGAATGAGCTGCTCCAGTGCTCGCTTCCAATAGCAAAGCACGCACTACAGCAGCCACATATGCACAATATTATCATCACTTCTTCTTTTCTAAATTAACAAGGCTATGCACTTTGTGCTTAAACACAAGTACAGAGGGCCAAGCCTAGTGCAGGCTCCTACAGAAGCTGAGGAAGGGGATCCCATAACAAATACAAGTCCTATCTGGACTAGAGTGAGCTCAGGTGTTTCCAGCCCAGGCAACCTAAGGAAGGACTTCTCTCAAAACAAAAGAGGACTGGGGTATTATAACTCAGTAGTAAGAGCCCTAACAGCATGTAAAGGGCCGTACTTCAATTTCCAGTCTGAGGGAGGTTCTGGATCTTCCCTAAATGTATTTATCTTCCTCAACTGAGTCCATCCTGTATTTTTAAGTTAACCCCATTTTAAATCACTTTAAAAGTTTACATCACATTAAGACAGAAAGGTAAAGGTTTAAGTTGTTTGAAATTCTTAGGGGAAAAGACAGGAGTGGAGGAATGCTACACACTAAAATTGGATCTCAAACCCTGCTCTCGTAACACAACAGAAGAAAAGAGGTAGCACACCCAAGCAGATGTGCAACCATCAGGCCCCTTATCCTTCCAACTAAAAGGGAAAGCCCCTTCCTCCTCCACACTGCTCTACTGTGCCTCAAGCACTCCCACTTATTTACACCTATCACTGCAGGGATCTGCTGGAAAACCCCTGGGGCAGAGGGAAGACACACTGGCCATCTCCTAAACAACGAGGGAAATTCACCATAATGGAAGAGGGTTCAATCCAGGACCTTGGAAATAAGAGAAAAGAAGGGAGATTTTGTTTTGTTCTGAGAGAAGGTCTCTATATTATAGCTCTGGCTGTCCTGAAACTCACTCTGTAGACCAGGCTGGCCTTGAACTCAGAGATCCACCTACCCCTGCCTCAGTGCTGAGATCAAAGGTGTGAATCACCAGACCCCACTAAGAAGGGAGATTTTTGTTAACTAGAGAACTTAAATCTTAGTGCTATATGCAGCTAATAAAAAAGCCACATGGCTGTTTTTCTATACAGTTACAAAATATTAAAAATAGTTAATTAGTGTATCACTAAATTCCTTTTATTCCATATTCTAAACAGATCATGGGGTGAGAGAGTTAAATTTTATATAAGGGAATATCTGACCATATTATCAGTTATAAATTCACATGCTTCCCAAATGCATTGCTCTCATTATCAGGAAGTTCACCACTACTTAAATTAATATGCATAATTAAAGTGGCATGAACTTTAACTTTTAAGATGAAATTGCAGAAAAGCATTTAAAAGCACCGTCCCATTTGGACATCCATAAATGCTATTTTAAAAGACCATGTACTGAAGACAATAATAGTCATATTACTTAAGTAAAGTGTTAGCACTTCCAAATCAAAAGTTCTGAAAACTATGCTAATTAGTTAGCATACATTTAAATATTTTTCTAAGAGGTACAAGACTACAAGGATAATGCTGACTGAGCTGGTATTTGCTTCATACATTTTATGTTCGAATTAGATCCTAGTGATATTAATCGTTAAAAATTTGGTTTTTTTGAAACCAATCAGTAAATTCAGCTAACAGTGAAAAAATCGGACACCTGCCTTTAAAAAAAAAAAAAAAAACTGTTTAACTTGACACGTGAATGAGCCCGTGGCAAGATCCTTCCAGCTTCTTTTCTCCCGGGTGCACAATGTCTCCCTAATATTTGTGTCTTTCTCCCTAACTGATGATCAGAAGGACAAGTAGAAATAGGGAAAAGGAGGGAGGGAGGGGGGATAAGAGAGGGAGGGAGGGAGGGAAAGACAGGGAGAGGGGGAGGGAGAGAGGAGGAGGGGGAAGAGAGAGAGGAGAGAGAGAGAAATCACAGAATAATGTTGCCTCCCTACCAACCATCCAATTAGCCAAGTCCCTGGCTGGCAAGTTACCTAGTCAACAGAACCTCAATAATAAACACTACGTGTAACGTGACTTCGGATCACCACCCCGTGGGTCCTCTCCAAGGCCTCGCATCCGTGTGTCAGCCTCCTCCAATCGCCCGGGAGGACCTGCGGAGTGATGTCCTGCAACAGCTCAGACCCTTGCAGGGGCCGCGGGGCGGGCGGGCGGACCAGGCTTC